TTTAGAGAAGATCTGAAAGAAGAAAATATGAGCAGCGAAGAAGAGAAGACGGTTTGTGTTACAGGAGCTTCAGGTTACATTGCTTCATGGATCGTTAAGCTTCTTCTTCTCCGTGGCTACACCGTTAAAGCCTCTGTTCGCGATCCAAGTCCGTCTCCTTTTCTCTATTCAATCTCTTAAAAATCTATATATCGAATAGTTTTTCGGATGATTCAAGATTCATAGAATTGTTTTTTATATATGTGTATTATGGTTCAATGTTAACAGATGATCCGAGGAAAACAGAGCATTTGCTTGCATTGGAAGGAGCAGAAGAAAGGCTTAAATTGTTCAAAGCAAATTTGTTAGAAGAAGGCTCTTTCGATTCGGCAATCGATGGTTGCCAAGGAGTTTTCCACACCGCATCGCCATTCTATCACGATGTCAAGGACCCTCAGGTCTTTCTCTGTCTATCTTATTCGCATTCTCGAGCTATCGAATCGATGATTGATTTGTGTTTTTGATTTTGTAGGCTGAGTTACTCGATCCGGCGGTGAAAGGGACAATCAATGTTCTAAGCTCTTGCTTAAAGACTTCCTCTGTTAAGAGAGTCGTTTTAACTTCATCTATTGCAGCTGTTGCTTTTAATGGAATCCCTCGAACACCCGAAACCGTAGTCGATGAATCTTGGTTCGCCGATCCTGACTACTGCAGAGCTGCCAAGGTAAATCAAACGAAATTATCATTACGTGATCATGAAGTTACCACTCTGTTTTAAACTAAAACAACTATGTTTTGTTTTGTCAAAAGCTATGGTATGTACTCTCAAAGACATTAGCTGAAAACTCGGCATGGAAATTCGCGAAAGAGAACGATTTACAATTGGTTTCGATAAATCCCGCAATGGTGATTGGTCCTCTTTTACAGCCAACGCTTAACACTAGTGCTGCTGCAGTACTAAGCTTGATCAAAGGTACATAGAAAACATAACAGAGAATTGGTTTGATTCAGACATTTGGCTAAACTTGAACATTTTGCAGGAGCACAAACGTTTCCTAACGCGACATTCGGGTGGGTTAACGTTAAAGATGTAGCGAACGCGCATATTCAAGCGTTTGAGAATCCAAGTGCTAATGGAAGATACTGTTTAGTGGAGAGAGTTGCTCATTACTCTGAAGTTGTTAACATTTTGCATGATCTTTACCCTGATTTTCAACTCCCTGAGAAGTAAGTGTTTTCGTAATGTCAGAAACAGAGTAAAAACAGAGTCTCTCTGTTTTTGTTTTTTGACTAGTGAAAAGACAAGATCTTTGAAAGTGAATCTATTGAAATTTTGTTGCAGGTGTGCAGATGAAAAGATCTTTATTCCGACATATAAAGTGTCTAGAGAGAAAGCAGAGTCTCTTGGAGTTGAGTTTGTGCCATTGGAGGTTAGCATTAAAGAGACTGTAGAGAGTTTGAGAGACAAAGGTTTCATCAGATTCTGAGCTTCTAAATCCAGAACCAGACTTGGAATATGTTTGTGTTTCAAGCCCATGTTTCTTTGGTTTGTTTATGTGTTTATTTTAACTTTAATTCAAATATGGAGTATGTTGCCTTATGATATTGTGAAACATTGTTTTTCATCATTTTGAATTTGATGGAATTAAACTATTTGTTTTTGTTCTCATTGGAAATTGTATTTGCCAAAGTTTCCTTTTTAAAGTGGTTTACAATATAATATAGCAAACTGTCAAAATTAATTAGCTTTATCTTTTGCTTTTTAATCTTTGCTAAAATTATTAAGTCTATATGATTAAAATTAAGTAGTAGTTGACATTTTTCAGAATCGTACCACTCAACTTTTTTTTTTAATTGTTTGAATTATGATAATTGATGACAATTAATTCAAATCGAATTTGACACATATTTGCTACAAGAAAAAGTAAATTATAGTTTACGTATGTCTATTAGTGGGTTTAATTAAAGAAAGGATTATAAATGTACTAAACAAAATTTCTTTTGGAACCCAATATGTGGAAAAATTGTGTATTTCACCACGGGAAGTATCATATATATATATATACACATCTCCATCAAATTTTGCCTTCAATAAATATCTCCCCAGATTAAATTTCGATGTTTATATCTCCCCCAATTTAAATTTAAGTGTATATATGTCCACAAAATTCAAATTCGATAGTTTTTGTTTGATTTATTATTTCAGAATCATAGTTAACCATATAAAACCTGTTTAACCGACTTAATACCGGTTTAAGACCCGATTAAGACCCATAACCTTTTAATAAACCCGACAATAAACCCGATCCCTTTTCTTTCTCTTGAACCCTAGAAAATCAAATCGGAATTTGAGAGAAATTGACAATGTCGGAGGTTCCAACTGA